TAGGCCACATCGCAAATCATTGTATAGGCCACATCGCATTCAATAAGCCACTGCGATTCTGAATGGAAGTAGAATGCGTGCCGCATCCCACAAAGGGGTTGAACGGCGGAGACTTTCCCTTTTATCCTTTTGGGCGGCAATCGTATTTCCTGTCATCGCCCTTTTGCGCTGGTAGGTGCTGGTGCTTCTGCGCTGGTAGGTACTTCTGCGCTGGTAGGTGCTTCTGTCTTGTGTGGTCTCTTCAGGGGTTCTTCACATGGATAAGTCTTTCATCATTGAAGCTGAACGACATCTGGGTATCGCTGCACCCTCATTTCAGGAAGGTACCCGGATGATCACAACGGTGGCGTCTGCTACCCCCTCCCCAGCAACCAAGTGCGACCCCCTCCCCTCCCCCCCCCCCATGTGTTTCACACAATGATGCTGTACCCTGCTTGTATACCTCCTTGCCTGGTTTCATATCTTGCATGCAACAGTTTTCAAGACAGATTGACAAACAAGAATGACATTGTTTAGATCTAATCCTGCACTTTCGAATCAATTGAATCCAATTGCATGCATACGCCTACGATCTTTGAATGGTCACGCTCATTAACCAAAAAATACTGAAATATGCCACAAATATGAATGCAAGCCTGTCTTCTAATTTTTTGGGCAAATTCCATGCCATTGATTTCGTACGTTTTTTTTCAGTGCCGTCGTTTTCACATCCGCTCTTCACTTATCGGATGAATTCATCAACACCATACACACGCTGACCCATGATGGGAAGCTTGAGCACTTCTGTCACTTTTAAGGAATTTCAACTTTCTTACAAAAATTTCACCTTCTATGGCCGCAAAAGAAGGCTCTGTCCTTCAAGGGAAGCTCCTTTTACCTCGCAGAAGTCCCGCCTGCTATTGAAGAGTGCTCTAGATTAACAGGCCAGTCTCGCAACCACTCGGAACAAACATTCACTTTACTAGGGAGGTCGTTCAGGACGTGGAGCGCTTTTTGAAAACGGTTTTTTGCATGATGTGGGGTTACGTGCATGGAGTACCAAACTGGTGTTCATTTTTCCTGAACGCCTCTGGGAATGCCAAAAATGGAGTGAAAAAGAAGTCCATGGAAACCGACTGTTTTTGAGCCTGAATGGGCTCTAAATCACTCGCAACTTCGGCCAGTTGCTGCCTATAGGGTCCTTATAAAGGGTACTGCGTATGCGATGCAGACAAAAGTAGGCGCCAATTGGGGTCCTACTTCGTGGCCAACGTAGTCCCAATTTCGACCATGAGTCTTTCTCCCACTGGAGTCGCTATGTACATTCGTTTGAGGGACTTGCAGGGCCATTCTGACGCCAGATTGGGTTGATGTCAAGAATAAGTGTCAGAATCGTGATCAGGACCATCGATTGGCCAAAAAAATTTTTTTGACTTTTTTGAGTTGTGATAGACCGACCATTTGGTCGTCGGTGATGACCGGAGACCCACAACTTTGGAGCTGCGATGACGTAGCGATGACGTGGTGGGCCGCCGGGCAGCCGCATCGCGGATTTGGTGCTCATAAGGTCCATTCATACTTGGCATGGGCATGGGTGGCCGCAGAACAAGTGAAAAACCATCCTGGACATTTGTCGACCCCCGCGACGGCTCGCTCAACGAAGATGTCGTCCTCCCCTACCAAGAGGAGAGACTCATCCGATTTCTTCATCAAATGCACCTGGAGGAATGATGACTATTTTGTTCTTTTTTTCGATGGCGTTTATGGTTGTTGCTAGTTTTTTGTTTCCGCAGACTTAATGAGGGTTTCGATAACCAGCAAAAGTACGACTTCAACAAAGTGACTCTTGAGCATAACCCAATGCACAGACTCAAAAAAGTCAAAAAAAATTTTTTGGCTGAAAGTTTGCCTATAGGGGTAATCGATGGTCCTGATCACGATTCTGACACTTATTCTTGACGTCAATCCAATCTGGAGTCAGAATGGCCCTGCAAGTTCCCTCAAAAACGAAGTAAGCATACAGCTCCAGTGGGAGAAAGACTTGGCTCCAAATTGGAGATAAATGGCACTAGAGCTGAAAGTAAATGCCATAGTCATGATCAGGGCACCGAATAACATAAGCTCAGCTTTCAGACAAGTTCTTGCTTCAATGGTATGTGAAATCGAAATTGCTGAATAGCACCGACTACGGGCTATAACTATTTAGGATGTGCCTATAAATGGCAGATATCCGAGTAAAATTCATTAACAGACGTATATGGAAGCGACAACAACGGAAAATAAAAAATGCAAAAACGTGCAAGCCGAGGGGAGTCGAACCATCATCCCCATCCCCACTGCCTGCTTGGGAATCCTCCACGCTATCCACTAGGCCATCCGATCGTTGGCACAGGCACCACTTCGATTGCTTAAGAGCCCGAATTGGCCGTCGACTCTTAACTACGTGCCACAAGTAAGACCCCATTGACGACCACTTTTCTCATAGATACCAGTACAACCTTTATAAGGACCCTATAGGCAGCAACTGGCCGAACTTGCGCGAGTGATTTAGAGCCCATTCAGGCTCAATAACAGTCGGTTTCCATGGACTTTTTTCACTCCATTTTTGGCATTCCCAGAGGCGTTCAGGAAAAATGAACACCAGTTTGGTACTCCATGCACGTGACCCCACATCATGCGAAAAACCGTTTTCAAAAAGCGCTCCACGTCCTGAACGACCTCCCTAGTTAGACTCTTCAAAAGCCCAACCTGGCCGTTTTTCTTCTTCCTTGAGGATAGATTAGAATTCATCCAATTGATTTCCGAACCATCCAACCATATGGCGAATTTTGGGATGTTATAATTCTTCAAGTCGTCATTTCTGTGACCCGCCCACTTCAGAGAGCCCTCGCTTTCGAAAAATAATTCAAATTTACAGGCTGACGTCTCAGTTCGTTATCAAAGTCTCACTTGTCACTCGAAACAAGGAAACCAGCCAGGCTTTGTTCCGAGTGGTTGCGAGACTCTGGCCTGTTAATCTACAGCACTCTTCAATAGCA